ATAATGAACTTTAAAAAGACAGAACATTTAAAGTTTTTTGTAAGTTATCGGCCCCAACAGCACCCATCATGACTCATTCTAGCTGCTAGAATGAGTCATTGTGATTTTAGCATGTGCACTAAGTGAGAATGATCCTGGCATGGACGGATAAGTGGCTTAATTTCTGATAATTTATGATAAATTAGATGTTCTGAAGTATTGTTATTATAGTTCATAATGACGTAAGACTAGAAGCATTCAAACGAGAAGTGATCAGTTTAAAAAAATTCCTCAGGTTGATGACTTGAGAAGTGAAAAGGGTCATTTTGCTGCATTAGTTGGAAAATCTATTCCAGTCAAGGAGCTGACAGACAATTAGATCTTTACAAACTGTTCAACTTCATTTGAACAAACCAATCCATTTTAAAATGCTCAGCCACGCTGCTTCTAACAATCTGGTCAGAAACCCAATTGCAATAAAAAAAAATCTTTCTGGAAAGAAAGAAGATGGCATGCTTGGAAAGTATTTGCTGTGTAATGTAGTTCAATGTAAAGCTCAAGCACTAGCAGATTGTTTGAAATGCCATCAGTCTTTTCTTGATTTAGTGCAACCATGCAGTATACAGTGGGAGATGGATGGGGAAAGGAGCTTGATGTGACAGTGGAGCATGAGCTCCAGGCTCATTTATGATATTGCATAGTTTATTCTGACTATAGGGATCAAAGTTCCCAACCTTGAGTACTGGAGAACAGCATGTTCCTCATCAACTTAGTTTGTTATCCAACAACTGCTAATTTGAGCCCAGCAGTAAACTGTGCAGTGCAGTTGCTCTCTAAGACTGGAGTACCATAACTATGACACTGACTGGATAGTTGACCCTCAGAATTTGAAAGAAATAACTTTTGCTATGCTATTTTATTCAGATGTAATTGTTATTTCACATTTATTTTTGGGGATGCACCACAATTTCGGCCACAGAAAGTATTCAGCCGAGAAAAGCAAATAAATACCTAAAGAAAAAGAGAAACAGTGATTAAAAACACTTTTTCCCTTTCGTCCACCAGTCCACACAGACCAGTGAATCACTCAAACACAGTCCACTGCAGCTGCGTTCTGTATGGTCTTTAACTCGCATGCTTTTTAACATTAACTGATATTAAGAACCTCCTCAATAGAACTCAATATCTTTTGGTAACAAACCTTGGTTTTGAAAGTTGTTACTGCATTGTTCAATTCTGCTAATGTTTATGGCTGTTTCTTCTATAAATACTGAACACTAAAGCTGCTTGCGTGCTAATAGCACCCCCTGCTGGAGCAACTCCAGACTGCTAGATGGGAGTTCTAAGGCGAGAGTTCCACATCCACGTGTTTACCAAAGCAAGTCATTCCTTTTGTTTATCGTTTAGATTAGGTTACTGATGACCTGTTAAAAATTGTAATCTGTAACCTAATCTAAAGGACTATTATATTAAAGCAATAATAACAATCTGATTACGTTTGGTTACATTCGGATTATGTGTATTTTTAAAGCACTATAATTAAATAAAGACAAGAGAAAAATAATTTTAAAAAGATGACTAAAAATGATGTAAACACAATGACTTTAACTTAACTTAAAGCAAACAGGAAAACTGACTTAATGTCTGTGCTTTATACCAAAGTCAAAATGTATTGTTAAAACTGTGTTGAACGATCAGCAGAGCTTTATTATACAGGAAATAAGGATTTTTTTATTTTTACCTATAAATCTAATTCTGCTGTGGAGCCACAACGGCAGTAAAAGAGCCGCATGTTGCTGACCCCTGTCCTAGAGCAATAAGCCAACGTTAACCTGCAAAAACAGGTTTACTTAAGCATCTATATAAGCATCTATATGACGGATACCGAAACTGACATTTTAATTATATTGTGACATTCATTTTAGCCATATCTCCCACTGCTTAAGGTCATGCTTATATATTTTATATATTTGGCTATTGTCATATTTATAGTTTTAACGACTGGCTTAAGTGCATGTAACTGCTGTAATGTTCAGTTCATGGTGTGACTGACGGGCAGTACTACACTGTTAAGAAAAACAAGTAAATATCTGTAATTTTACACAAGTTTCTTTTGCAGGATGATTCTCAGGCAGGTGGCTGTGGTTTCATTCAATAAATCCTTAGGTGAGGAAATCTAGTGAATGCGCTCTGAAACACCTGCTGTGAGTGTGCCTCACTTAGCCGCTGGGATGAGTAAGCGTAAGCACCACTGTGTCCTCATGACCACCCGGAAAAATGCTCATGGGGACGTAATCATGAAATGGAAGACAAAATAAAAGTGATTCCTAGAGGATATAGTAAAGGATGATTCAAGTTAAGAAGCAAGTATCAAAGTTAAAAATACGCTCATCTCCGTCCTCGCTATTCGTAGAGCCTCTTGGTTTTTCCGCTTTATGGTTTTTCCCCAGAGTGAAGTGGAGGCAGCCCTGAGGAAAAGAAGTTCGAAGAATTAAATATACACAATCCTGGATCTTCATGAAAGCAGCAGCGTGTTTTTTGTCGGTTGGACTGCAAGGCCAGTGGAATAATAGAAATATATTGAGGTGGAGCTCTTACATTTATTAAGGATCGGCAGTCGTGACCCAGGCGCTTTCAAAACCTCTTACGGATTCAATGAAAAAATGAAAAAAAAAGTCCTCCATTCTCATCCAGGCTCTATCACTGACACTGCATCAACCCCACTCTGCTCTCAAGAGGAGGCACTAGTTTTGATTTCATTTTATTCTGATGGTGGCCGGATGCAAAGAGTTTAGCGCTGCATTAATAGACGCCTCCGGCTGAGAAGCGGGTAGGAAGAGGTGGCTGTACGCTACCGTTTCTTTCTTTTCTTTCAACCTAGCTTTTAAGTAGAGGCATCAATATGGGATCTGGCTTCAGTACGCTGCCTTTGAAGTGCACTGTGCTCCATACTGTGGGGAGTAAAGACTCCTGCATGGTGTGCGCGTGCGCTCGCTGAGAAAATGAAAGCGCTAGCTCGCTAATCGCCGCCAGAAACGGAATTTTGCCCTCAAAATAAAGCGGGGGCCTTTTGTGAAGGCCGCTTTCTTCCGGCGATAATAATTACACCTTCCTCCCACTTGAGTCATTAGATTTCGGACATGTGTTTACTTAAAGCACTGCAAAAACACCCCACGTTCCGAAGCGATGCCCTATGAGTCCGTGCATTATCCTACACTCATGCAAAGCAGGCTAGGCTATTGTAAATGGAGAGAGTGCGAATAAGAGAGCGTCATTACTGGTGTTCAGCAAATGTCTTTACACCTCGCTCTAATGTTGGATAATAAGGGACTCGTATTCACCGAGAGCCACTAAGCGGCTCGGCGCAAATGGACTAAAACAATAAACACCGTTGAATCATGCCGGAGTTGATTAGCCACCGTGAACGCTCTCGGATGTTTCGCAGGGTCAAGTGCGACTTAGTGCCTCAAAATGAAGCTCTTTAACAAGGCAGTGAGGTGTGAGTGCTGCATCGGCATATTTGTTTCCTTTTGCTTCACTGAGTCATTTCACTTTAGGCTTCAAAACACACAAATCCCTCGAAAAAGCCATGGATTTTTGGAGGAGCACTGAAGTCAGCAGCATGGAGGCAAAAATAAAATTGATCTATTTTGAAATGCACTGTACTGGAATTCTGTGGGTGGTTTTAGGGTAAAACATACACAAGGTTGGGTAGCGGTCAACCTGGCCATTTATGCTATTTGTGATGCCAAAGTCTACCAAAGTAAACCAGTGAAAGCACTCAAAGCTCCTGTCTTCTAGGCACGGGCTTGGGTTTAACACTGAGGGGAGCAAAAGAAATAATTCTTATGTGTGCATTCACTGAACAACGTTGAATCTCGGAGAGGGTTGTGGATATAAACTATACGGCCAAAAGAATGTGGTCATCTAGCCATAACACCTATAAGCTTGTTCCGAATTGTCCTACTTATCCTCCTTCCTACTTCAAAACCATGGGCATTAATATGGAGTTAGCTAAGGCTTGTGTGCAGCTGTTTGGCCATGGAAACGCATTTCATGAAGCTTTTGTGAAACAGTTTTTGTGCTGATGTTGCTTCCATAGTGATGCTAACAGAGGATAACCAAGAACAGGTTTTACGCACCACGAGTTTCAGCACTCGCCGGCCCCACTCTGAGTAGCTGAACTGTTGCTGCTCCAGAGCGCTTCCCTTTCACAATAATAGCGCTTACAGTTGACTGGGGCAGATCTAGCAGGGCAGAAATTTATAAACTGATTTGTGGCAAAAGTGGCATCCTATGACAGTGCCATATTTAAAGTCACTGAACTGTGAGTGTTTGCCTATGGAGACTGCATGGCTATGTGCTTGATTTTATACACCTGTTAGCAATGAGTGTGGCTAAAACACCTGGATTCAATAATAAGGAGGGGTGTCCACACACGTTTGGTCACATATTGTATGAGCAGGAATCAGAGCCAGAAGGCCAACATGCCAGACTACAGCTGAACAGGGGAAAGAACCAGCGAGTCAAAGATGTGCATGCAGAAAACATCAGTTTTTCTGGTTGCTATTGTGTTCCTGCACACTTAAAATCAATACTGTTTTCAAACTGTTAAGCTCAGTTTCACTATCAAGGCTATTTTCTGTCTATTTTCTGTTCTGTTCTATTTTCTGTTTCATGCAGTTTAACTATGGAACTGCATTTTCTCTTCCTAGCTTTGTGCTAGGATTGGAGCAGCACTGCCCTCCCAACTTAAGCTTTTCAGGGGGCAATGACTCAGTGCCGCTCCACAGATTGCGCTGTGTAAAATATTATAATTGGTCAGTCTGCTCACAGCACATGTTCAAAAACATTGTGATTGGTTAGTGGGTTCATCTGTATATTGCAGCTTTCTTTAAGATCAGTATTACAAAGGACTGATAACGCATGACAAGTATTGTGTAGCCCTGATATCTACGGTATCATTCACTATGCTGCTGCTAGTGGACCATCATACTGATTTCTCTGACCGCTGTGCTCACCATCTCTTCTGTTGAGTTTTGCATAGCCAGGGCCGTGGCTGTTGGACAGCTGGGATGAGCTTTTGAAGGCAGACTGGGGGAGGTTAGACACCAATGGACTGTCGCAGCCCTCTGAAAAAAAGAGATAAGTACACATTAGTGAGGTATTCAATGGCACCATTTCATCACAAGCTCAGTTAGAGGTGGGCAATATGATGATGTATTCTGTACCCCAAACACGTGGCTCGACTCGGACCCACACCTAAAAGACTCGTCACTTGACTCCGACTCGCACTTCAAGCACTCTAGACTTGACTCGTACTGTGGTATCGTCATTACTCGGACTTGAACACGTTAGACTTGACTTGGACTCTCAGCACAGAGACTTGAGACTCAACTTGGACTCACACCTCAAAGACTCAAGACTCGACTGTACTCAGACTCGCACCTCAGAGACCCGATTTGGACTCACACATAGGAGGCTTGACTCTATGCACCTCAAAGATTTGAGACATCACAGAGACTTGGGACTTGACTCGGACTTGTACCACAAACACTTGACGCTCGACTGAGACTCGCACCTCAGAAACTCCACTCAGACTCACACCTCAGAGACTCAAGATTTGACTCAGACTCGCATGAAGCAACATCTCTGCTGCCCACCCCTAGATCCACCCCTAGGTGAGCGCACTGACAACAGAACTTGACAGTTGCCTTTTACGTCTCTTACCCAGTAATCAAAAAGGTCAGACTGCACACACATTTGGAGGGTAATTTGTGGCAGAGAGCAGAGTGAAGGTCATTTAATTAATGGTAATCCTTAACAAAGACTTATCATTAAAAGAGTAATATGTGGTCAAAAATGCTAATGTGGCTAATAATTAATGAACGCTTACGGGCGGCCAGCATCTCATTTGTATAATGCTAGCTAGCCCCTTTTAGCCTCATGTTTTGTTCATTAACAATGCTAGAATATTAGCATGAGGTATGCCATTACACACATCTTTTAACCTTATATAGCAATTCACCTCAGATAGCATCTGCATGTAGCTGTCCGTTTAGCCCAGACTCCCTTATGAATTGGGCTGTAATTTTGGCACTTGGGAAGAAGACTTTTCCAGCTCTACACAGCATCGTGTTTATTACTGATAAGGCTGAAATTTACGACCGCAATAAAGCAAATTCACCGACAGGACCCCTCAAGGAATGGTCCCAAATTGCTCTTCACAGAAAATACAACATTTCACAGAAGAGTAGTGCGAGCACACATAATTACTTTAACAGCAGTTGTTAACCTGAGGACACATACTGGAAAAAAAAACATACATTATTTTACAAGCTCTGAGTGCTCCAAATAATTGTCTTATTGTATGTATTAATTAGTGTACACAGTACTGCTGCTTTGTGGATTTCACCCAGTTAAGCAGACTGCAGCACCCCTTCGCCTATAGTGTCAGACACCATTAGTATAATTGGCTTCCGATGATCCACATCAGTGTTGTTTCGTTAATTAGCCAGGGTACTAAAATATAATGACAGAGAAAATGAAGAACTATTTTAGCTGCACTACCAATAGTAAGTCAACTGCAAGTGTGGGAGAGGGTTCGACTCCACAACAGCTACTATGGGTGGGCGATATGATGATGTGTTAACATTATTATAATTATTTACATCACTACACATTATTCTGAGTATACTGTGGATACTGTCAGTACTTCTACAACACTAACTGAATGTGTTATAAAAGGACTTTAGGTTTTAGACCAATTAAAATGTAGAGCGCCTGAAATCAATTATAACCAACTGCATAGTAACAAGTAGCTGATTGGACGTCAGCCCATTATGATATTTTATTTTATTTATTTATTTTTACCAATAGACCCTTTGTAAAATAATGACTGACATGCCTCTCAGCTCAAAATGCTACCTCCTCCACCAAGCTAAGGGAAACTGTGAAAGCACTTCTCTGAACAAACCTGCAGTGAGAATGGCAGCGGCAGTAAATTAGTCAGATTTATAGGCTCAGAAAAGGTGGATAAGAAGTTGCTGAGGAACATATAATGCCTGACACATGCTATTCTGATCATCTGGAGGTTGGTGCTGTTTTTATGTCTTTCCTGAAGCTAAAAAAAATTAGTATTAGTCTTTGTAGAGGACGACACTCACAGCTCAACGTCACAAATAGTAACACACAGACTTACAGTCGTATGCAAAAGTTTTAACAACTCTGGTCAAATTACGTTTTGTTGTTTTTCTATGTAAACATGTAACACATCCAATCTAAGCCAAGTTTGCCAGATGATTTGCTCTAAAAAAGCCCTCTTTAGCACCGACTAGCTTCCAACATCTCTCCAGTGTTAGTTTTAGCTTTACCTCATCTGAAGGGGCAGCCTCCATCGCTACAACCTCCTTCTTAATAGATATGAAAACCTACTGCTTAACGTCAAGTGGCTAAACAATTTAACTGGTTTGATCAATGAAAAGACGGTTTCCAGAATCTTTTTTTTTGTTTTTGTTTGTTTATTTTTGAATTTGGAATTCTGAGGCTAGGACAACACCTTACACTCTTCGTCATACTCTTCAAACCATACCAGAAGAATGTGCGGTGTGGCAGGGCCAATTATCCTGCTGAAAGAGACCACTGCCATCAAAGAATACCACTGCCATGAAGTGGTCCCAAATGATGTTTAAGTAGGTGGTACATGTCAAACTGATATCCACATGAATGCCCGGCCCCAGGGTTTCCCAGCAAAACATTGGCCAGAACATCACACTCCCTCCACTGGCTTGTCTTCTTCAGACGTTGCATCCTGGTACCATCACTTAAGCACATAAGTACATGGCCATCCATGTGATGTAAAAGAAAATGGCACTCATCAGACCAAGAGATCTTCTTCCATTAATCCAAGGTCCAGTTCCCATTGTAGGCAGTGGACAGGGATTAGCATGGGCACTTTGACTGGTCTGTGGCTACACAGCCTTACACACAGCAAGGTGTGATGCACTTTGTGTTGTGATATATTCTTCCAAAAACCAACGTTAGGAATGTCCTTGCCTTGTGCCACAGTAGCCCTTCTATCGATTTGGACCATATGGGATAGCTTTCATTGCATTTTAGCATCGATGAACCTTGGGCGTCCAACACCCTGGCCCAATCCCATTTTACCCCTTGCCCCTACCACTTAGCCCTACCCCTCCATTTTTTCGTTCATGTCTAGGGGTAGGGTGTCTTGATTTTTGAGATAGAGGGGTAGGGGGAAGTGTGGAATGGGAAAATTCGAACAAGAAGTTGGCAAACAGCTGACTTCAGCTTCACATAACCAAAGAATTAGGGGTGGGCGATAATAAATAATTGTCGCACCCCCCCTTCTTTGAAAGCATATGATGGCCTAAATGTAACTAAAGCCCAGCAGCGAGGTTGCTGGACTTTACCCTCCTCTGCTATCACTGCAGACTGGCAGGGTCGCCTACAGAGCACCACTCCAATGAAGTAATGTTCTTTTTTATTTGACGGTTGTCCCATTTCATGGGGGACTACCCCTTGTAATTCAGTTCCAAGGAAAAAAGTGACACTTAAAAACAAGGGGTAGCTTTGTCCCTTCATGCTTTGTCCCTTCTTGGACCACTGTCAGCATGTACTTACCATTGCCGTTTCGGAGATGCCCTGACCCAGTCATCTGGTAATAACAATTTGGCTCTTGTCGCTCAGGTTTTCAAGCCTGTCCACGTTTGCTTACCAACTAATATATCCCAGACCCTGATATGTGTGTGCCATGGTTAGGAGATAATCAACATTATATCTGTAGGTGGTCATATTGTTTTTGCTCACTGGTGTATTTTCCACATCACCCACCCTCAACAGAAACAGTCACTTTCACTCTAAAAGTTTCCGTCTGATTTTGTGAAACACCAAGCTGATTTCCATTTCCGAACTTCTCGCTCCACTAGCAAAGGCAGTGCTAGTAAAGCAGTGAGGGGACTCAGGATTAGACGATTACATTAGCCACAAACAGCTCCGGAGGTGAGCTTTTTGTCAGTTTTTAAACACGTTCTTGGGCGGAGAGGACTTTTTTGGTCTTATCTTCCTGATGATGAAAGGTAATGAAGGCGATGATTTATCTTTCTTTAGCTTTGAGCCTACTTTGTCCAATCTTGCCTCAGATACCGAGGCCATAACTCACAGTTGAGGACATAAGATAATTAAAGTGGGCATGTACCTGGCAATTCTGGTAATGAGTAGATAATTGGACTTTGAGAAAGTGTCTCGACATTTGATAAAATCTCAGCTATGGCAAATGTGGGGTGGCTTTCAGCTGCATGGATTAAGATATGAGGGATATACAAAAGCCTTTTTTAATTGAGTGCTGCATGTCAATCAATATACTCTCACTGGCCACTTTGTTAGGTACACATAACTTGTATCTGTAACTTACTGTCCGTTTTAGCAGGTCCACTAACTACATAGCTGCACTCTGTAGTTTTATACTTGCAGATTGTAGTCCGTATGTTTCTCGGCATACTTGTTAGCCCCCTTTTACAGGGTTCTCCAATGCAGCACTGCTGTGTCGGATCCACTTTTTCCAAAACAACACACCTTAACACGTCACCACCACGTCAGTGTCACTGCAGTGCTAAGAATGATCCACCACCCAAATAATACCAGCTCTGTGGTGGTCCTGACCATTGAAGAACAGGGTGAAAAGGGGCTACAAAGTATGTGGAAAAATAGACAGACAATCTGTAATTGTAGATCTACAAAGTGTATGTTAAGTGGACCTAATAAAATGGGCAAAGTTGGCCTATAAGGACATTTGATTTGGCCTGCAAGTAGCACTTTATTTTCCTTTTAAAACTATAAGTACTTTAGTATCAAAACAGCGCATTGTTATAAGATTAATTTAAAACTCAATTTATAACTTACATTCTTTATTTGTGCATTGTTTTATCATATTTGTTATTTCTTTTTTTGTTGTTAAATGTAGCACTGTGTCCTGAAGAACCTACATTTGAAAACGGTACAAAAACATAATATATGATATTTTACCTAAACTTGAGCTTCATTGTTTTTGTAAATATCTGCACATTCCAAATTTAATGCCTGCAACATGTTTCAAAAAATTAGGACAGGAGCA